TTAAGGACATGCCAATCAGTGATTGCCTTTCCAGACGGTTCTGCTATGATTAGTGTCTGGTGAAAAGCTTCAGCAACAACCTGACTTTCAAAATCTACATTTACCGATGTTTCCGTTTATCAACGTTATATTTTAAGATATGTGCAAGAACTCAGCTAACAGATGTTTCTGCACATAAAAGCTATCTTCAAATAGTGTAATAGTTTAATATTGCTGGTTTGATTAGAAAGTAGTGTCAATACTATTTCAGTACAAACCTCATTGATAATTTTCACCCACCTTTGGTTTCAGATGAATTTCAAAGCAAAGTCCAAACTTCCAGACCTGGATGATATTCCAGACTCTATAGCAGTAACCCGTTTCTGGGACCATCATATCAGTCATAACAACTCTTTTATTGTGGATGAGTTTGAAGGCTTGCTACAGTCCACTCTAACATGTCTTTTTTGTAAAAAAATTTCCAGCAGCTATGAAGTCTTTTCCTGTTTGTCTATTCCTATCCCATCTGGTAATCGCTGTACAATCAAGGTATTCCTTCAACTAGTCAGAGTTTTTCTAATCTTCCCATCTGTCAACTTAATATATAACACTAGTAACTCATAGTTTCTTTTGTTAAACTTCAGTTGCATCCCACTAAGAAAACATTTTTATTTCTTTCACCAAACTTACATAGTTGCATAATATCACATCTCAGTTTTCTCTTATCTTTTAACAGTAACAAATTTCAACCTGTCCATCACTAAACATAATTATTACAAAAATTACATCAGTGAAACATTTTCTCTATTTATTTTAGCATTTTTCTGCATAATGAAGAATTTTTCAGACTAGTGACAGTTAAATTCGATATTTAAAAGTTAGTGCATGGTCTTGCTTCACTAATGAAAAGTTTAAGGGTGGGTAAAGTTCAAAATAACTTGTAATTTAAATGTGATGTAAGTGGTATTATGTAGATCTGTTTCCTTGTTATTGATGTTTTCAGTAGTTTAAGAATAATGTACCTAGTGAATTGATAATATTATGTGGGTTTCTGAATTATACTGATATATCAAAACAATCTCATAATTTCCATTTTTTGTTCAGTACAATATTTCTTGCACTTAGAGTTGTTGATCTGCCCCTAGCTTTCTTATCAGTTGTTTTTTTTTTAGATTTAAAAGTCTCAGGATATAATGGCAAACAGTGCTAATGCCAATAAATCAGAGAATCTGACTTTAAGCCGCCTGCCTTTCCTACTACTTTCTTTAATGTGCCCCCCCCCCCCCCAGTGGCACAGTGGTGTGTCTGCGGACTTACAATGCTAGAATCCGGGTTTTGATACCCATGGTGGGCAGAGCATAGATAGCCCATTGTGTAGCTTTGTGCTTAATTACAAACAAACAAACATCTTTAATGTGAAAATTATAAATAAGATGATAATTGCGTTAGTGATAGTAAATAATATTAAAATTTGGTTTACTGTGATGGATTTCTCTTATTAGTACACAACCTAATAGAGGTTGAATATCCATATCAATATTTGCTTGCCTTTTTAAACATTATTATCTTCCAGCACAATCTTATACAAATAGATACATATTTTAAAAATTATCAGTTCAAATATAAGCTACAAAATTCCTGTTTTCCTTTGCTATTGAACTTTTCTGCTTAATAACCTAGTAACAAGTTCACTGGTTCAAGAAGTATTTTGAGTTTGCTGCTTAGAAAATGCTAGTAATGTAGTCTAAATTAATTTGCTAATTCACATAATAGTGATGTATAGGATCTTTTTGTATTCATTTATTTTTGATTTTCATTAGTTAAGCACATTTGAAACCTTATTTGTTCATATCAGTGGCAGGAACTACAGGTCAGTTGGCGATTCTGTCTAACATTGTCAGGAAACTGACCTAATATTTTTTTATTTAACGTATGCAATGCCCTAGATTATGAAGTCAAACATTGTTTATTGAAATGTATTTATTTTTGTCCCTTCACGTCTTGGTCCTAAGCCTCACCTATGCTTGTATATTATAAAAAAGAAAAGAAAATTCCTTCTGAGAGTAATGAGCATATAAAGGCAGTTCAACATTGAAACCTGTGAAATATTATATGTAAATAGCTTTTATTCAGTAATAATAGCATAGTTGAGTAGTTTTGTTCATTTTCTGGTTGTTAGAATTTCATGAAATAAAGTGAATTCTTAGAATTTATGAATGAAAGTAAAGAAGACTGTATAACACTGTTTCAAACATACTATATATGCTATCCAGTGTTGATGGGCCTTTTGCCCCAAATCAGGATTCATCAGGCCAGCTGGGATATAACAGTGGTTGAGACACTACTTATCAAATTTACAAGATAAACTTTATGATTGGTAAAAATGTTTCAATCTAATTTTAGGGATAATATAATGTTAGGTTTCTGTCATCACTGTCATTTATTTTAATTTCTACACATTGTGAACTTAATCAGTAAAAAGACTGTGAACTGAAGCATTAACAGAACTGGTAATAAGACAATGAAATTAAATAGTAACAAGAGAATGAATTGAAACAATAGCAAGACAATTAACTGAAACAGTAACAAGACAGTGAATTGAAACAGTAGTAAGACAGTTAACTGAAACAGTAGCAAGACAGTGAATTGAAACAAGATTAGTAACTGTACAGTGAACTAAAACTGTAATAAAACTGTAAACTGAAACAGTAACAAGATTAGTAACTGTACACTGAACTAAAACTGTAATAAGACTACAACAAGATGGTGAACTAAAACTGTAAAAAGACTGGTAACAAGACTGTGAACTAAAACAGTAACAAGATTAGTAACTGTACAGAGAACTAAAACTGTAATAAGATTAACAACTGTACAGAGAACTAAAACTGTAATAAGATAAATAACTATAGAGAGAACTAAAACTGTAATAAGACTAGTAACAAGACTGTGAACTGAAACAGTAATAAGGTTAGTAACTGTACACTGTAATAAGACTAGTAACAAGACTGTGAACTAAAATAGTAACAAGATTAGTTTGCAACTTTGTAGGTTTAGATAGGCCTCTGGTAGTGCAGTTATTTTCAGGAATATTAGAATTTCTCAAGGAATGTGAATGATAGAGATTACATTTTTGAGAGAAATGTTTTTCAGAGCTGAATTTTGAACTCTGCAAATGTGGTATATAAATTAAAAACTATGTATCACACTGGAAGATACTTTGAACTGTACTATAAAACATTACCTAATTGGCCAAGAAAAAACTATCTTCTCAGCATACAAGAGCTCTTATCAGTAATTGTTCTGCTTAACTTGACTCTGGTAGAAAATTATTATGGCATCATAATTTTGTGATATTATTATTATTATTACCCAGTTCTCTCAATCTTCTCAGAGTAATTTGTTTTAGTAAATAATTATTTTTTTCTAAAGTTAATAAAAACTGATTTAGAAGGAATTAAAGCTGTGCTGTTTTATAACATCATTGAAATCAAAAGAACAATGTATAAATATCAGATGATGCCACGTTAACAGTGGCAAAATGTTGTTTTTAAATGATATATTTTTTTCTATCTTGTTTTAGCTGTGTTTGAATTTAAAATTTTGTGGAGTGTGGGATACCTCCAACATTTATATGTATAAATACTAATTCAGTGTAATTTATTTTAATAACGATAGAGCAACACCATCTGGTTTAGAGATTCTTAAACAAAGCTATTCAACATGATAGAAACAAGAACAAAAATATATAAATGCATGCTGATTGATTTAATTCTGTATAGAATTTTAGGGGGATCAATCAAGCTTACTACAATAATATTCCAGTTGTAATCTTATTAAGCTACATAAAAATTATTCACTGTGGATTTAATGCTATAAAAAAACTATAACTTCCAATATGATTAATTACTTCTCTCTCTCACAGTTACAGTTATTCTCGATTTGACTGCTCTCTAGTGCACCAATTTTTGCTGGCCACTAGCCTTGAACTCTCACCTAATTCCATGTGTATACCACATGGTTCAGCTGTGTTTTTCCATGCAAATTAGCATACGACAATGCTCTACCAATACAAGAGTGACTCTCTCTATTCAGTTGGTGGCCCAGCATGGCCAGGTAGTTAGGACACTCGACTCGCAATCTGAGGGTCGCGAGTTCGAATCCCCATCACACCAAACATGCTCGCCCTTTCAGCCGTGGGGGCATTATAATGTGACGGTCAATCCCACTGTTCGTTGGTAAAACAGTAACCCAAGAGTTGGCGGTGGGTGGTGATGACTAGCTACCTTCCCCCTATCCTTACACTGCTAAATTAGGGACATCTAGCGTAGGTAGCCCTCGTGTAGCTTTGCGCAAAAATTTATAACAATTTAAACAAAAACTGTAGTTGGGAGAGAAATTATTTAAATGAGTAAAATATACCCATTTTGTATTTTATAAAAAGTAAACTGATTTTTATAGTAATTAATTTTTTTAATTTATGTTTGTATTCAGGATTGTCTACAGCTGTTCTTGAGAACGGAACAAATGTCTGGAGAGGGTGCTTGGGACTGTCCACGTTGTAAACAAAAGAGAGATGCTGAAAAAAAGCTTGCTATATGTAAGCTACCCCAGATTTTGATCATTCATCTTAAAAGGTATGTTTACATAGGAGCTTTTAATGTACATCAGCTGTTTCCAACTTAATTTATTAATACAACACCCTTTTAGCTTTTCCTGTGAAATTCAGATATATGCTATTCTTCAGTATATGCATGTACAGCTCATTCAGTATCCAGTTATATATGACTTACATCCCAGAATTATTAACTGTATTTATTAAGGTAACATATACTCTTTAAAAGTAAAAAATAAATTAATTAATAAACAATTAATTGTTTGCATATTTTGAATCTTTAAACCATTTACTTTCAGGTAGGTTGTGTCTTTAGTCTACTCAAAATTTCATATTTTTTTAGACTAGTTAGTTACTAAACTTAATAAGTTATAGGGGAATTCTGTGGTATTGATGTAGTAATTTATGATTTTTTACTTATTCAACTGTGTATATAAAACATAAAAAAATTATTTTGTTTCATATACTCCACGTACAAAATTTTTAAAGGCTTAGCAACCTACATCAAACAGCAATTAAGTACAAAGGTCATAACTAGAAGAGATAATTGTTTGCTTT